AGTCCATGCATTCATCTCATTCTCTAATTCATGTCTTCTATCAAAGCCATTTCACCAAACCAACCAACTTATTTGTTTCTTCTCTAATTGAAACTTGTAAAAGGAAGTTCATGAAAACGATAGTGTCTTGATTGTTCAGTCTATGTTGATACGATTTTGGTTTTTACTAAACTATTACTTGAACTGACGATCATAGTGTCCAGTATACACTTGCGTTGTCCACTGTGGACTGTTTGCCAACCCACTATGATTACACTTGTTTCCCACGTACCAGGATGTCAATCAAGTCAAATGAATTGACCATTATGAATATAGCACAAGTACTTAGAGTATGTACTTGATATATGTGTAAGAATAGGAGCGATCAAAAAATGAATAGGCTACACTAATTAAGATGGGGTTCCATCATGCCAAGTTTACACATGAAATGTTTTTAATATCCTTGACATTTTACGAGTGATTTAAGACAAATGGTTTGTTTCTAATTTACATTGTTGTAATGATTTTAATGTACGATGCAAAAACATACGATTTAGGTCGTATGGACCTGGTTTACGTTATCTAAACCATGTAGCATTGTTTTTCGTTAAGCTGAATTGGTCTGATTTTGCTTGCGATGTCTAAGATAGTACATAAGTTGTGATGTTGTAAGTATCCCACTGTTTAATGATCGATTTTTTATACGTTTTGAGTTTTGATGTATTGTTATTACGCGATTCATAGTGGAACATAATGAGTACATGGTGGCTTGTTAACATTAAGTTAATCCGAGAAAAATGTAATTTATAGTTTTTTCTTGATTGAGTTATGAATTGATGTTATAATACTAAAGAAAATATTTATACCAAATTGCATAAAAAAGAACATGCTTTCATTCTATTCATATTTAAAAAGAGTTAAAATTTCATTTAGAAGCCGTTTATTAAATGCTTACCCGGTAAGTACTTACTGGATAATTTTCCTCATCGGATGAACATGACAAGGGCCAAGAATCTTACCCGGTAAGAACGATGATAAGGATGGAGAGTCTTACCCGGTAAGTGAGGGGTGACGACTCGTAAGACTCTTACCCGGGTAAGCGCTTATCAGGTAAATTGTTGCATATGATACGTTTTGATGTACTACAATCTTACCCAATAAAATAAATTATAGTGTTGACTTGTAGTGTTAACTACTTACCGGGTAAGCATTTAAGTAAACGACCCCTTAGTCTCTCAAGTTTGTCATTTTCAATGAAATCATACCTAATATTCATTTATCAAAAATTTGCCCCCCATGTTTTCTAATTCGGTTGGTTTTTGTTCCTTCCACTAACTTCAGTTTATTTTTTATGTTAGTACTATTTAAATGAGGGGCATGATCTTTTTACATTTATGGGCCGTTTACCTAAATGCTTACCTGGTAAGCACTTACTGTTAGGAGTCAACATTGTAATTTATTTTACCGGGTCAGATTGTAGTATATCAAAATGGTATCGTATGCAACAATTTACCCGGTAAACGCTTACTGGGGTAAGAGTCGTCACTCTCTCTTATCGAGTAAGACTCTTCATCTTTATCATTGCACTTACCGGGTAAGATTTTTGACCATTGTCATGTTCATCCGGTAAGGAAAATTACCCAGTTAACACTTATCGGGTAAGTGTTTAGTAAACGGCCTCTTGCTTTTCTTAAAAAATGGACCCTACCACCTTCTTTTTTCCTTTCCCCACCCCTTTGTCGCTTGGTCCTCACCAGCTCTCGAGCATCGACGACTAAAACCGACTCTTTTGACTAGACTTAATAGAAAAAATTTCAAAGTTTTTAATGATTGAGATGACCTAAATTTTCCCTATTTAAGTAAACTAAACGGAAAACTTAGCGTCTATTTGTGAGAAGGACCATATTCATTGGATTTTACAAACGTAGCGGACAAATTTGTAAAGAAGGAAAATTAAGAGTGATTTTCTTTACCATCTACAAATCTACAACCATGGCAGTACCCGACTAATTCACAACTTAACTTAGACAATGCTTATGAGATGCCACTAGATTTTTCAAAGAATAATAGAATCTCACACCAGCTATAGTAGCAGCTAGATTTGGACCACTTCTCTATATATGTTAGGAACCTTCTTTTCTTTTGTTAGCTTTTTTGGAGGGTAATATAATGGAGTTCCGCATATTCTCATATGGTATTAGAGGCAAGATCTACCACTCTAGCACAACTTATACTCGTCTAGCACCCTATCGATCTCGGGACAATTTATGCCCGTCTAGCCTCCTGGGGGGGTATTATAGTCCTACATCAGGTAGATTTGGACCATTTATTCTCTATGTATGTTGGAACCTCTCTTTCTCTCATCAAGAGCTCTTTTAGCGAGTAATCTAACGGGATTTCATATATTATCACATAAAGGAATAATAAAAGTTATCAAATCAAATCATAATGAGAATGAAATAGCTGACCACTCACCATGAAGCTCATTTTTCCTTCATTTCCTGCTACCTAAAGTTGTTTGCTCACCATAGAACTCATCATCATCTCTAAGATAAGGAATACATGATTTTAGTGCCTTGTAGTTTACACCCATCGTTTCTGGCATAAGGCCGTTGGGTCTAGTCTACAAACACACAAATGATAGTTAACAAATGAATGTGTTCATAATCACCAAAGTGCCCATCATCATCATCGCTATCATCCCTTCTTAATCAAGAATATTCTAAAGAGTCATTGGTTTTCCAGGTCGGAAAATTAAGTAAACAACTCAGGTGTAAGTTTTCCCATAACCTGTTTGGTCATATGCAAATATGCAAACATTGAATCCATCAAGGATGGAATACATCAATGGTTGAGAGTATGTGAATAGCTCTTTCTGCAAGAGCAAGAAACATAAACCACAAAAGATAATATGTTGGTTGATAAGTGAAATAAATAAGCGTCTAATACATGAAGAAATCAAAGATTTTGGGGATATTACGAATGTGCTTTCCTAACAAAACAATCCTAGATTTTCAAGCAAGATTGCATTTTTCGATTACTTAAAGAGATTTTATATAAACATTGTAGCTAGATTATCAGCTTCCTCTTGATAGTCCTTTTGCATCGACTGCATGCCGGTTTTTGCAGTAAAAAGGGTGCTTCTCATTTCCTGTATGACATCAATAATATCTATTAGGCATCTACAGGTAATCTCTAGGAATAAAGAGTTCACTCTGTATGTTGTTGTTTGACTAGCACCCCGCTCGTTGAAGTTTTTTCACGTAATTTGTTATATTCATCCATTCTTTTTCTAAATTCCTCTTGCTTTCTAGCCCTTTCTTCTTCTGCTAGTAATTCTTTCTTTCTTGCTTTGTAGGCTCTACCAGTACCACAGATACTGCTAGGACCAAGGCCCATTTGGTTACTTTCTATCCTTTTTTTGTAGTGCTAGTAATTCTCTCTCTATTGATGCATTCTTGCTCCCTTGCAGCTTTCTCATCCTCTTGCTTTCTAGCCTTCTCTTGTAGTGCTTGTAGTTCTCTCTCTCTCTATTGATCCGATCTTGCTCCTTTGAGAGTTTTCCATCCTCCTCTTGCTTTGTAGTCTCTCTAAGACCGAGTATGTATGGTGCAATTTCAGCAGGGAGTCATTGATGAAGGGGTAGAAATCAGCATTAAAAAGATAGATTCAAGTATCTAGGCTTCATGATTAATGAGGGACAGATTGAGGACGGCATAACACATCATATTAAGGCGGGGTGGCCTCAAATGCTAAGAAAGATATGTGTAAAATATATACCGAGTATTTTTCCTTTGGAGATTTTAGCCTGGAATGCTAGGACTTATCATCAACTTTACCAGAAATTTCTAACCTAAAACTCTTCACCTTACTGTTCCTTGTTTCCCATCTCCCAAGTCCTTGCAATAAGCAGGAGGAATAGTGAGCCATCAGATAGGTTACCAGGGTCTTATGTTAGACTAAGAGGCGAGCAATCTTTCAAACCTTAGGTCTGTTCCTTGAATTGTTACTTAATATCTTCTAACTTTGGTACTTTTCAACATATTTTGAGATCTTCTCTTTTTCATTCTTTTTCTTCAATCCTTGTAGCAACCTTTCTGAAAAAGGTAGGTAAATTCTTTTTTCTCACTTACACTTTTAAAGGTGGGGGCCTTCATAGAAACAACCGCTCTACTCTAAAGTAGAGGTCAGATTTGTGTACATCTCACTCTCCCCGGACACTATCTCCAGTGGGATATACTTGGTTGGTTTTGTTTGATTATTGCACCAAACTTGTAACTTTTTTGTCACAAAAATGCAGTGTTTATTGTACATTAGCCATTAAAGTTCTTGAAGAACACAAATTTAACACCAACACAGACAATATAAATCAGAATCAATCGCCTATGGTTCCGTTCCTTTTGGATTTCTACGTTGACATTTATATACAACAACAAACGAAAGCAAAATCTGCAGAACCAATAACTCGGCTTTTCAACAACTAGAGATATTACCACTTCTGTGTACAAAAAAACCAATCTTTTGCCATCTACAAATCTAATACACTTAATTTGGACAACACTTGGGAGATGCCACTATATTTTTTAAAGAATATAGGAATCATATAAGTCAAATCAAATAAGAATGGGCATGAAAATAGAATTTGCATTCACCATATAAGCTCATTTTCCCTTCTTCTTCTTGCTATCAACAGCTGTTTGCTGTTTGGCCACCTTGGGGGCTGCAGCACCAGCTGCCGCTTTTTTTGCTGCTGGACTCCTGATAAAAAAGCAAAAACTGGTCTCAGGAACAATCATAACACCATGAGAAGATATCATATTTGGCTTTGAGATCAAAGGGATTACTTCCATATGAACTTTTGTTGAATTTTTACAGAATCATATGAAATTGAAGCTAAAAGCAGTCCATTTGACCTCAAAATTTAAATTGAGGAGCAAGACAAGGTTATAATCATACTGGGCTGGTTGCTTTGCACTTGGGTTCTTGGCTTTGCCAGCATTATCATCAGAGTCATCTATTGAATCGTCTTCCAAGTCCCCCTTTCTTGGTGAATTCGTTGATAATTCTTGAAGGCTTGCACTAGTCCTCAACTGCATCCCGAAAAAATCAACTTTTCTTTACAAAACCTACTGTCTAATATGAATTATGTGTTTCATATAATTTTATATAAGAAAAAAGGTTGTAAGACAATTAAGGGATGTGACTAACCTCTTGCGACTGACCCTCTCCCGCTTCCTTCTTGGCTAAGGCTGCTTTTAGTAACGCGATCTGCTCTTTCAACTCCCTCACTTCCCCAGATTTACCAGCTCCACCTTCGACTGTGGAGAACCTTTCGATAAATTTAAGTGTGTTAACTGTTTCTAGAGCCTCATCAAGATCAGGATGTACATGGACAAACACTAGGATCTTTGCTTGTCCTCCTAGTAAACCGAAAACCAAAGAGATTAGTCAACAAATCTATTTGAACTTTTCCTACTTATTCTTCCAAATGGGACCATAGAATATACCAAGAGCATCTTGGAGCAATTGTGTGAGTTTGCAACTCTTGTAATTAACCTTGGAACTTTTAAGGGCAAGAGCTACCATGACATCCCCAAAAGCCGAAAGTGATTTGCTTACGTGTGCTGCTTCATCTTCCGAATCGTCAATCTTCTCGCTTCCAGCAAGGTCAACCAGATGCATACAACCTCTAATTTTTGTCCCGGTTGTCAGGTCTTTCCCAAAAACATGAACGGTAAGGAAACTACAAAATATATGCATTTATCCTTTTATCTCATCGTAGCAGAATGATAAAAAAATACGTACAAAAAATTACAAGGATAAACGTGCACCTGTGGGAGCGACTACCGCTATCATGCGTGTCGGTTGAACTTACTGCACGATTTTTTTTAGAAAGGTTCATTAGATTTACGACTTCATCTGTTGATGTAACGGGTACAAGATTAGCATCAGGTACATTCATCCCCTTCTGTGCTCCGTTACGGATCTCTACTGTGGTCATTGGTTAAGACAACAAAACAAGAGGATGAACTTTAGAAAAAGACAAATAGTTTCTTGTGAAATCAAACTAAGTGTAACCGCTAATAAGGATATATCTTGTTACTTCCATCCGTCACAAGGAGATCTCTAACTTCGTCATTGTAAATTTCAAGCATATTGACAGAAATCTCATAGGACATGTCGTCCTTCCTCTCCTCTGAGATAAGGAATAGATCTTTTAAAGCCCTGTAGTTTACACCCATCGTTTCTGGTGTAAGGTCACTGGGTCCAGTCTACAAGCACACAAGTGACAGTTAAACAAATGAATGTGTTCATAATAAGCAAAATGCCATATCATCATCATCATCATAACCCCTCTTCTAATCAAAATCTTTCAAGAATATATTACCAGTGTGTAAGTTTTCCCAGAACCTGTTTGACCGTATGCAAATATACAAACATTGAATCCATCAAGAACGGACCGTATCAATGGCTGGGTGTCTGCAAATACATCTTCTGCAAGAGCAAGAAACATAAACCACAAAAGATATCATGTTGGTTAATAAGTGAAACGAACAAGTGTCATATTCATCAAGAAATCAAAGATTTTGGGGACCTTAATAACCTTGAGTTGCAGATGGACCAAAGACTTTAGTAAACATCGATGCTTTCCGACCTTCTCTTCCAGATTTTGAAGGAACAATAACTGTTACGGTATCATCATCTATGTAATCCACACTCGTCACACAATTCTCTTGCCCAGGCAAAAAGGGTCTTATTCTGCAATATACCCTGATATTTCCTTTCAAGTCCTGCACTTGATTATATAGCTTTCTGTTTTCTTCCAAAACCTTCTTGTACCCGGCTGCAGCTTGGCATACACTACGCACCTGCTTTCCTGACAAAGTAATCCCAGGTTTTCAATCAAGAATGCATTTTTTTGGTTACTTAAAGACCTTTTATATAAATATTTTACCTAGATTATCAGCTTCCTCTAGATAGTCCTTTTGCATCGACTGCACACCTATTTTTGCAGTAGAAAGGGTGTTTCTCAATTCCTATATGACACCAAAAGAATTTATTAAGCATCTACTTGAAATAACAACTGGCTGTGTCTGTAGAAATTGCAATGTCTAACTTAACACAATTCAAGTAAATTGTTTGAAAGATAGTGAAGTATCTGAAATGTTCTTTTAGAAAGACAAAAAGAGGAATCTTGTAGATTCAAATCAAGCTAACGATGACAATGGGAAAATTTGCCAACTTGACTTAATCGTTCCACAGAAGGAAAATATGCCATTTCCATGGGATGTTTACCTGTAACTCTGTATGCTGCTGTTGAACTAGCACCCCACTCTTTGCTGTTTTTGCATGTAATTTGTTATATTCATCCATTCTTCTTCTATATTCCTCCTGTCTTCTAGCCCTTTCTTCTTCTTCTAGTAATTCTTTCTCTTTAATGATTCTTTCTTCCTCCTCTGCAGCTCTCCTCTCCTCCTCCATCTTTCTAGCCTTTTCTTTCAGTGCCAGTATTTCTTCCTCTATGTTCTTGCGTTCTTGCTCCTTTGCAGCTTTAATTTCCTCCCTTTTAGCGGCTTCTTGTAGCGCTAGTGATTCTAATTCTCTCATGATGCGTTCTTGCTCCATTGCAGCTCTTTCCTCCTCCTCCTCCTGCTTTCTAAGCCTTTCTTGTTCTTCTTGATATTCTCTCTCTCTCCTGAGGCGTACTTGCTCCTTTGCCATTCTTTCCTCCTCCTTTCTAGCTGCCTTTTCTTGTGCTCGTAATTCTTTCTCTCTCTTGATGCGTTCTTGCTGCTCCCTTTTAGCTCTTTCCCTATCCTCCTTCTTCATCTTCCTAAGCCTTTCTCGTTCTTCTAATAATTCCTTGTGTCTCTTGATGCGTTCTTGCTCCTCCCTTGCAGCTCTTTCCTCCTCCTCCTGCTGCTTTCTAAGTCTTTCTTGTTCCTCCCTTGCAATTCTTTCTTGCTCCTCCCTCTCAAGTCTCTCTTGCTCCTCCCTCGCAAGTCTCTCTTGCTCCTCCCTC